CGTTTCTTCCGTTTTCGATTCCGATCGTCTCGGATCAAATTGCAAAAATCCCTCAAGAATATTCCAAATTTAAATATCTCTATTTTTCTTTCGAATTTCTTTCAAATTTTAACTATTTATTGATAACATTTTAAAGAATTTTTATATTACGTACACGTTCATAGAATTTTTCTTACTGAATGTTTGATAACGAATGATTGAAACGTATGCAGAAGAACAGAATTTTTGAGTTACCATTCAATATTCTGATACATAAATTAAAGTTGTGTATCTCGAACAAAATATATCCAAACAAACCTTATAAAATGAAGATTTTAGACAAGAAAAGAAAATGTATCGATCACTATATATATATTAATTCCCAATTATCAATATCGTAAAAAATTTATCTATAAATTTATCTATATTGATATATATAGGTGTGGAAATGTAATTTCTACAATTTTACGATCTTTTTCACGGCAAAAAAAAAAGAAAAAAATGAATTCTTAATACTTTCCTCGTTCTAAAATTCTTACAATATTAATATCAAAATACACGTGATTTTTATTTTTAATCAATCATAGATTCCCTTCTGTCGACATGCAAAATGCTTTTCTCGGGGATCAATCATCTAAGATAATACTTGTCACGTGTACACACACGTTCCTTCGCTTTGCAATCGCGAATTTTTTCACGATTAATCTCTCGAAGACTTGTACACGAAACGCACACTGTAATTTCAGATGCCCTATTCGATAAACATCTTTCCATAATTCGATAATCCGTATTCGATAAGCATGCCATTCCGATTCCAATGTAATCTCCGATACGTGATACGATATTGAAAATCGTAATTAGATTTTAATAAGAATTCCTCTTAAAAGATCAAATCTATCAATTTACGAGTAATTTAGATATTATAGTAGCAGATATTATAGTTAACGTTTAATTAAGAAATTAATTACAGGCAATGAAACGTTTAGCAACGTTTATAATCTTTACTAAGATGGAGAAAAAAAATATTGATAAATGAATGTTAATTTTGTGATGGTTACTTTAAAACGTAATCGAAAACATCCTTTTGCGGGATGCGAATCTTTCGAACATAGGTAATAAATCAAAACTTCATTCACCTTCTCGGATAATTGATTTCCAATACCGAATAAGAAAAATCTATTTCCCATATTCTTCGTTATTATTAATTTCTTTTTTAATTCCTCAATCAATTAAATCTCTCTTCTAATAAAAGCTAACATTAATTCGATTATATATACAAAAAAAAAAAAAAAAAAAGAAAAAGAAAAATGAGAAACGATTTGAAATCGGATAATAAAAATGAGAATCGTATTCAATCAACGACCAACAGCCGCTCTCCATCAACCTTACGGTGATCCATCAACTTTCTTCGCTTTCTGGACTCTTTCTCGACCCAACGAAATCTTCGCTCATCGCTTCATACAGGTTCACTCGTCAAAGTGACGATGCTAACGACTTGACACTTAGACGGATCCATCTTCCAATCATCTTCTTTGGACGGCTCGATCCCGATCGTTGATTTACCATTGTCCCCTAAAAATATCGCAACACGCCAGCATATACCATTGAAATACCATTGAAATTATCCATCCTCGAGGCGAGTGTTGATTGGAAGCGCGGGGCAGGTCGAATGTTAGCATATATTAACCTTTCTCGGTGCATAGAGGCGATGCCTCGATGCAGACCCATCATTGGGAAGAAGAGGAGCTCCTCGGGATCTCTCACTTTCCCTTTTCGTGGGTGGAACGACGACGACGACGCTCGGCTCTGACATCATCGATCAGGCGGGAAAGGACGTCCTAGCAGGATACCGTGCCACTTTTGACGATGATTTAGCCCGACCTCGGCCCGTTCACGACTGCGCGTCCACACGATTTTTAAGCATCGGCTTTGTTCGATTATTATTCATGGGTGAAACTACGCGTGGTTGTGGTTCCACGATTGATTTCTCGAACGTGTCGAGCGAAAAGATACGATTTACTTTCGGCCATCGTTCGAGTGAGACTCGAATAGCTGAGCAAAGGAGGTTCGAGAGGAAGGAAAGTGATATGTGTCACGGTATTTTCCCTCGAGCTCTCGTTTTTATATAATAATATAAAAATTGAATGATCAGAGATCAGTGTGTATTATATATAAATTTTCAGATTTAATTTTCTTGGAAACTATGAAATTTTAAGAACGAAAAAAATGTTGTTCTTTTATCACTTAGTTTTTATCACACGTGGAACAATATTTTGTTAACGATGCAGTATCCAGTTAAAATTTTGAATAGATTTCTAAATTCGATATTCTTAAAAATATAATAAAAATGCTTTTTTATCGATTTATTTTTATACGTAGAATCACTTCAACTTTATTCTATCTAGGGAAATATTTTTAAAGTGATTGTCCGTTTCTGGTGATCGATGATGTTAGGATCTCTTTAAATAGCATAATGTACACATCAATGAGATTGAATTTCTACGAAAAAATAAATTGCAAAAAATTCAACATACTTACCATCAATCTTCCATTCGATCGATCCAAACACGTTCCAAAATCATCGTAACACAGTGTCTACGAATGGATATTTTATGCAAAATAAACTTTTATGCAAGTTTTTTTTTTTTTTCTTTTTCTTTGCGTCGATCTTGTCATCTTTTTATCAAGCAGATAATTCCTAGGAGACGTCCTATGCCAATTTGTATTTCGTTACACAGAGGTCTTATTGTCATACGTTTTGCCAAGCATAAATCATCACATTACAACTGGAATAAGAGAAATCATAGATCAGAAGCGGTACAGAGGTATCATTAATCTGATTGAATAGGATTCGCTCTGAACAAGATTCGTGAAGCGTAAAACAGCATTTCAATTTTCTCACGTGAGTAGAATCTGGTAACAGAACAAATCATCAATCATCGATTACAAATTGATAATCTTATGTTTTAACGTCACAAATAAAAGAAGACGTGTTAACGTATATCTCTATTAACTAGACACTTTTTGGTATACAAATCATTAAATATCCTCTTAACGTATTATTTACATTTAATTGTTACTATATTTTTATTATTTCTAATTCTTAACACGCAAGCAATTGAAGATAAAATCAATATTGATAATTGATTCATTCTTATCCATCATCGATTCGCAATAACACATGAGCAAATAATAAAAGAAATCTAGAATTTGTTCAATCGAATTCGAGGAGATATTACGCGAATGCTTCGTCGAGATTTCGCTTTGACTTACGCATGATTGTGGGCGTTGATAAATAGAACAGGAATCGCGTAATAAAACATTCAAACAATCCATTTAACGCATCTTTAAATCCTCGGATGATACGGTTTACCGCTGCAAGAACGTTCGCTGTTAGTATGAATTTTTCAAGAGGGAATGTACATTACAATTCAGCATTAAACTATGTTCAACTGATATTGCGCTTTCGTTTAAGCTTTAGAAGCTCTCTTTTATTACACTGTTAGAAATACCTTCCAGTACCTCATAATCTTCATCAAATGCAACATAAATATTTCTCGCAACCGCAACCGAGTGGAGAAAATTTAATAAAGCGTGGAAAAAACATTTGAATGAACCATCGGGTAAAATTTGTATTGTTAATTATGTCATATTGTTACTTCACTTCACCGCCATTGCAATTTGTTGGCGAGGAAGCGACCTCATCGTAAAGTGGAAGAAAGTTCATGTAACGCGATGACGAGCGAGAAGCAATAAAAATTGCGCAATCTCGTTATATTATTATTTCTCTTCTTTTTTATCATATCGTCGTGCAGCAGTTATACACCAATTTCCAAGACGTCGTAAAAAGAATCGGGACAAAAAAAGAAGCACGGCCAAAATAGCCTCCAATGATACTCACTACGGATATCTGAAGCCAAAGCAATAAATCTGACTGATTTTTTTTTTTTTTTTTTCTTTTTATTCCTCGACGATGCATTCGTGTAAATGTGAATCTTTTACGGCTTTGATTGACTGAAATTAATTTTCAGTGAAATTTCAGAGGAATTAAAAGGAGCTGAATCGTAATAACGATTATATCGATCTTCCTAAGAGGTTTATCGATTACGAAACTTGATGATGTTCCAACGAGAGTTGTTCGCGCGACCTTTACTTTTAATTATTCTAAACGGCAATGCGAACGAAAATGGCTTTTTATTATTCTCTTATTCTCTAATTAGCGAAAAGTAACTCTAGAAGTTGACTTTTATTGGACTTCAGGCATGAGAAAATTAAAAGCTGTTGCTAATCGTGGCGCGGCACGAAGATAGGATTAGAAGTGAAAACGAAAAAAATTAATGACAGTATAATTTTGTTTTAAAGGATAACAGTGAATATTTTAAATATTTTTAAAAAGAAGTTTCATCTTTCGGGCAAATATCATTATACCTAATAAAAAATATATGGGAATGAATATATTGAAACTTTTCAAGAATAAGAATAAATTGAAGAACAATTGAACTACAATTGAAGTGTTGATTTTGTATTCTCGAATTTATTTATGCAAAATTAATTTTCTATCGAGAAAAGTTAGAATTAAAATTAAAATTCGAATTTCATATTCTTTGAAAAAAATAAAAAAATTGAAAAATATAAGAGCAGTAATTTTTAGAAAAGATTGTAGATGCGTGAATATATTCCGGCAAATGTATTATTTATGAAGTAAATGGCTGACTTGACATTTAAAATGACGTGTCATGTTCTTACTGAACTTTTGCTAAGCTTTTAAAAGGTGAACAAGATTAGTCTGGCAAAAGTCAAGTTGTCAAAGAACGAATTAGAATATGCATTGACAGATTTTCTTTTTAACCAATGTTTGATGTTGACAAAGTAATTATACAAATATCAAACGAAATGCTTTGTTCAAAAACTTTTCAATATTTATAATGAAAATTAAAACGAAATCGAATTAAATTGAGAAACAGAATATGAATACGAAAACGGCAAAAGTATCAAATTAATTACACATTTATTTATAACAGGTAATTGCCACGTCTTTGTTGCAATGCACACAGCAGGAAGGAAGTAGGCAAAGTAGAGATGTAATACTCAATATCAAAGATGATCAGAAAAGTCAATATTTAAATCAAGATTTCTATTCTAGTAAGTATATAATTTGTTATTAGAATTATAATAGAAATATTTCTCACAATATATTAATATATTAATTTTTATCTTAGATGCATACAATTATGGTTACCAAGTAAGTCCAAATGGACAATTTCATCACGAAGTGCGTGGACCGGATGACATTACATATGGATGCTATGGATATATAGATCCATATGGAAAACTAAAAACAACATTTTACATTAGTGATGGCTGGGGATATAGAGTCGTTCAACCAGGAAATTCAGTCGAACTGTTTCTTCATGAACATGAACATCATCACGAAGATGATACAGAACAACATTATCATGACCACAACGATGATCACCATGATCATAAAGGTGTAATTACGGAGTGGAGAAATCTATATTTCCCAGAAATATGCAGACAATTCGATGGAACAAATGCTGGACCAAACACTAAACCAATCCCAGAAGGTAACACTTATATGACATAAATAAAGAATAATTATTACAATATTATGCTATGCAAAATATAATTAACATAATTCATAATCACAAGAAGAAACGAGTGGTTCAAGCAATGCTGGAATACCTATTCAACCAAGCCAACCAACACCAATGCCGGAATATCCTATTAAACCTGGTACGAATAACATTAAATCTTTAAATTTACATGACATCTAAAAAGAAATATCGCATAAAAGAATATTTAGAAATTTAAATACAATATAAAAAATTGAAAAATAAGAAAAAAAAATTTATTTATAGGGTATCCTCAACAACCTGAACAATCTCAAAAACCAGGAATAACAGAAGTGCCAGTGACGATGGGACAACCAGGAAAACCAGGATATCCAGGAATACCGGGAATACCCGGATCACCGCCAAAACCTGGATATCCTGGAAAACCTGGAAGCCCACCACAACCTGAATCACCGGGAAGACCAGGACAACCAGGATATCCTGGCCAACATGGATCACCTGGAAAACCAGGACAGCCGGGATATCCTGGCCAATCTGGAACACCTGGAATACCTGGAACTCCGCCACAACCTGGATATCCTGGGCAACCTGGATCACCTGGAAAACCAGGACAGCCGGGATATCCCGGCCAACCTGGAACACCCGGAACACCAGGAACACCTGGAATACCTGGAACTCCGCCAAAACCTGGATATCCTGGACAACCTGGACCACCTGGAAAACCGGGACAGCCGGGATATCCTGGCCAACCTGGAACACCTGGAATACCAGGAACTCCGCCACAACCTGGATATCCTGGGCAATCTGGATTACCTGAAAAACCAGGACAGCCGGGATATCCTGGCCAACCTGGAATACCCGGAACACCAGGAACACCTGGAATACATGGAACTCCGCCACAACATGGATATCCTAGTCAACCTGGATCACCTGGGCAACCTGGATCTCCTGGAAAACCGGGACAGCCGGGATATCCTGGCCAACCTGGAATACCCGGAACACCAGGAACACCTGGAACACATGGAACTCCGCCACAACCTGGATATCCTAGTCAACCAGGGTATCCTGCAAAACCAGGACAGCCAGGATATCCTGGCCAACCTGGAATACCAGGAACACCAGGAACACCAGGAATACCTGGAATACCTGGAACTCTGCCACAACCTGGATATCCAGGGCAACCTGGATCACCTGAAAAACCAGGACAGCCGGGATATCCTGGCCAACCTGGAAAACCAGGACAACCAGGACATCCTGGAACACCTGGAACGCCGGGAATACCTGGAACTCCGCCACAACCTGGATATCCTGGTCAACCTGGAACACCAGGAACATCTGGTACACCTGCAACTCCGCCACAACATGGATATCCTGGTCAACCTGGATCACACGGAAAACCAGGACAATCAGGACATCCTGGAACTCCGCCACAACCTGGATATCCTGGTCAACCTGGAACACCAGGAACACCTGGAATACCTGGTACACCTGGAACTCCGCCACAACCTGGATATCCTGGTCAACCAGGATTACCCGGAAAACCAGGACAACCAGGATATCCTGGAATACCTGGGACGCCGGGAATACCAGGAACACCTGGAATACCTGGTACACCTGGAACTCCGCCACAACCTGGATATCCTGGTCAACCTGGAACACCAGGAACACCTGGAATACCTGGTACACCTGGAACTCCGCCACAACCTGGATATCCTGGTCAACCAGGATTACCCGGAAAACCAGGACAACCAGGATATCCTGGAATACCTGGGACGCCGGGAATACCAGGAACACCTGGAACTCCGCCACAACCTGGATATCCTGGTCAACCTGGAACACCAGGAACCCCTGGAATACCTAGTACACCTGGAATTCCGCCACAACCTGGATATCCTGGTCAACCAGGATTACCCGGAAAACCAGGACGACCAGGATATCCTGGAATACCTGGGATGCCGGGAATACCAGGAACACCTGGAATACCTGGTACACCTGGAACTCCACCACAACCTGGATATCCTGATCAACCTGGATTACCCGGAAAACCAGGACAATCAGGATATCCTGGAATACCTGGGACACCGGGAATACCTGGAATACCTGGAACTCCGCCACAACCTGGACATCCTGGTCAACTTGGTACACCCGGAAAACCAGGACAACCAGGACATCCTGAAACTCCACCACAATCTGGATATCCTGGTCAAGCTGGATCACTCGGAAAACCAGGACAACCAGGATATCCTGGAATACCTGGGACGCCGGGAATACCTGGAATACCAGGACATCCTGGAATTCCACCACAATCTGGATATCCTGGTCAACCTGGATCACCCGCGAAACCAGGACAGCCAGGATATCCTGGAATACCTGGGACGCCGGGAATACCTGGAATACCTGGAACTCCGGCACAACCTGTATATCCTGGTAAACCTGGTACACCTAGTAAACCTGGTAAACCTAGTTCTCCTACGCCATCTCATCCTGGATATCCCAGCATTCCTGTGGCACCTGGAGTACCTGGAATTCCCGGAACACCTGGGACACAATCACAACCTGGATATCCCGGAATTTCCGGTTTTCCCCCAGGTAAACCTGATAAACCTGGTAAACCTGGTAAACCAAGCAAACCGGGTCATCATGGCTATCCTGGTACTTCGAAGCCAGGTAAAATTTAGTTGTATATCTTTTTATCTAAGTATTTTATTCAATTCTATTAAGTTTGAACAATATTAAAAAAGAAATAACATTTAAATTTTAGGTCAGCCCGAACATCCGCCATATCCAGGATATCCTCTCGCACCTGAGGGTTCATCTGGTGACATAGGTCCTGATGGTCCTAACGGCCCATGGCCTAATGGTTCCGACGGTCCTCAAGGTCCAGCCGGTCCCGAAGGTCCAGGTGGTCCCGAAGGTCCAGGTGGTCCCGAAGGTCCAGGTGGTCCCGAAGGTCCAGTTGGTGGAGTAGGAGGAATAGGTGGTGATGGACCGCCTGGTCCTGATGGCCCATGGCCGACAGGATCCCCTGGTCCGGATGGACCATGGCCTGGTGATCCGGATTATGTTCCTGGTGTTGCTCCAACGACACGACCTCGATATGAAGGGCCAATCAAAGTTCAATATCCTATTAAATACTACGAACCTACAACGCCAACGACTATCGATAATCATCCATTTTTTGGTCAGAAGCAAGTAGATCGATTATCTAAGTACAATTCGGAATATATCAATAACCACACTCTTAACGAAAATTACGAAAAAAATGTTGAGTCCACAGTGTTAGCGTATCCAACAAAAATAAGCAGCCCCTTCGGTTTAAAGGATGCTCAATTCAGAAAAGATCAATCAAGGACGCGTGGTTATCAGTCAGGACAAGTGAATCAGAATGCGGACGAAATTAATTCCTTGTTGTACACGCGACGAAAAGAATCACGTAAATACAAAGAAGAGGAAGAGCATAGTAAATACGAGGATGTTCAAAAAGTGGTATCGCAAACTTCTCGGACCACTACTGGCATTAAATACCCTAGTCGAGGAAGATTCCAAGGTTCCCGCGAAAATCGTAAATATCCCCAAGAAGTCACTAAAATAAGTGAACCGGTTATTCAAATAGAGACAGACCGCGAACAACAGGCCAATGTAAAGCATCAACCACCAAATGGAAATCATATCGCGTTCGCGAAACAGGTAAACCAATTGTCCGAGCAATCTATCGAATCAAAGCCCGAGCTCGCCGCGATCGGCGTTCATCCACCGAACACGATCAACATCAAGCCCTACCAGCAATCTATAGGGCCAGATCCGCAAACCTGTCCCTGCTATCTTGTCGAGCCGAGTAACAATACAGCAACCATCACGAGCACGACATCCATTCCCCTGATTGGTCAGCTTGGCTTCATTCCCGTGGTGTTCGTACCGTACTGTCCAGGCGACGATATGACGGACAGCACCCAAAACATGAAAGACATGTTCCCCTCCGCAATGCCTGTCCCATATGCATGCGACGCATGCGATTCTCAAAACGGGAGAGTCGAGACGAAGCTTGTCAGCCTAAATCAGCTTGGCAATATAGAGAATCTTCGCGAGGCGTTGCGGCAAGCGAAACTTGGCTTTTTAAATGTTTCAGCACGCGGTCAAATCGAAAGGAGAAGGGCAAAGCTACGGAACGTCAAATGAAGAGTGCGATTGCAACACACGGATTGTAAATCGTTACTCGAAAGAAGCCACGCGTTCGCGTAAAAACGATTCGTAAAACGATCAAACGGTGCCCGTCCATTAGCTGCTGGACAGCTGACGGATGGCCAAAAGGAGACACGAAAGCCAATAAAGGAGAAATCATCGTCTCGCAGAAGGTAATCATGATCTGTGCGTTCTTGTAAAATCAGGTAAAAGATAATAAGTTGTGAATGTTATAAACGATTTACGATAAATCTTAAAAGAATTCTAACGATAGTTTTAAGTTCTAGATTGTAAGAAATTGATCGAATATCATTGCCTTCTCTCTTATTGATATCTATATAATTGTGGATGCAATTTTCTTAGGATTTAGAACTCAGGGATTTGAAACTTATTGTACATCAATAGTAACAGTTTTTTTTTTTAGAACGCTCGATTGTGATTATCCAAAGATAATAATGTGCCGATTAGAGCGTGTCTGTTTTTTACTTTTCTCTGCTTTAATTTGGATATTAACTTATTTGATAATTGGTAAAACCTTGAACGTTGGACGTTTCTGTTTTTCTATTAATTCTATTAATTCTATTATGGTTTTTGTAAGCACTAAATTATTAATAATATTCTATACTGAATTAAGATTTATGTTTCATGTTAGCAAAAATGATTACGAGAATGATAATAATCTTAAAGTTAATGCAAGGAAAAGTATTAGTATCTATATTTTTTGTCATGGGAACATTTATGCAAAATTTGTATCATGTTGAATTTAAATATTTTCGTAAATCTTTTTTTTAATAGCTATAATAATGCAAAAAAATATATATATTTAGTTTATTTTTTAATTATTATATTGCTTAGTATTTAATTTCAAGAATACTATTTCGTTTCCCTCGATGTTGAGAGCATTATGTGAAAATTGATATAAATTAATTATACAAATTTTTTTTTAGATTCAAAATTATGCGAACGTCGTGAGAAATGAAATCATCCATTGCGCTCTCATGCTTAATGTACGCTTGAGATTAAATATTGATTATACAAGTGCTAATACGTTCTATTGAGCATGTACAGAATAATGGTTCATGGTTGGAGAAATTTGAGACACATTTTCCAAATTATAGGTATACTTTATAAAATTTGAATTAATATTTAACTGTACATGCTCGATATTTTAAGGAAATAATTATATTTGTACATTGGATATAAGATACGTAATATGTATCTTTTTCTGTAGCATAGAGGCCGACGAAATTTTTAATAAATTATATATAATTGTACATATTGATATTGCGTTCATCCAATGTTCCTTATAAGCATTAATCATGTATTTTTTTTTTATTAAATAAAACTAATCGTGAAACATCTTAGATCTTTTCAACACACATTTAATCAGACACAATTAATTCTAAAGTAGAAACCCTTCTGCACTCCTCATAACTCTAAACGAATCATAATTTTATTCATCATTATTAATTAATATACATATAAATTACATAAAATTATTGATACGAATACAAAATTACAATCTATCAAGTTAATTAAAAGATTAACAAACTAATATACATAGTTAAACTGGTATTGGCAAATACTGTTGTTATGTCTTCTTGCAATATCTTCCTTGAAACGACAACGATGAAAAAAAATATTATAAAAAAATATTACAATTCATTCTCGTCCAATTCTCAAAGATAAACTTTAAGAGTAACCTCTGTAACCGGATGGATAACCGGCATAATTTCCATAATTGGTATTACGATATCCATATGGATCGTAGTTATTTCTCAAATTGTACGATGATCCATAACTTGATCCTCCATATCCGTTATACCCTGTTCCATATCCGCTATATCCTGTTCCGTATCCGTAATTACCTTTTCCGTAACCAAGATATCCATCATTGTAGACGCTATAACCACCGGGTGCATATCCACCATGGCCATAACCACCATAGCCTAATGTGCTTCCATATCCACTGTTGTATCCACCGTATCCACCGTATCCACCGTATCCACCATATCCACCGTAACCACCATAACCACTGTTGTATCCAGGATTTCCATAATAGCCATATCTGATATATAAAAAAAAAAAAAAAAAAAAAAAAAATTGACGAGATTGAAATATTTATCTAAATATAAAAGGAATTAAACGAACGAGAGAGAGTGTAGAATTGATACAGTCGAATAGCGGAGTTGCTTAATTATTACATAGATTTTAAAATGTTTGTAAATTTTGAAGCGAGAATCAATAATGCAAATACAGAGGGCGATATTGAAGATGAATGTTCGATACAGTGGATAGTTAGAGACTAACACGTACAACGTTTCGAATATGAATTGAATATTAGAGAGAAGAAGCTCTTGTTAACGATAATATAATGGAAACAAATGTTACATTTGTATTATGGTACAAAAATTTTATATTATTGATCATATGACCGAATTGTACTTTTAGATTAATTTAACTTTCTTTCACTTTTACCAGATATCTCGATCTCATTTATCTTGAAACGTATTCTAGAATAAACTTTTTAAATTAGAATTATAAGAAAGATATATATACAATTATTGTTATTGCACGATTGGCATAATACACTTTTACAAGCGCAATATCGTTCTCGTTGGATAAAATATGCTGTCAAGGTTTTCTCAAGATATATATTAGATCAAATACTCGAGAGATTTAATATTCTTTTAACTCAATAAAATTTCAACAAAATTATTTCTCGCGTAAAAATTAAAAAGCATAATCGAAAATACGATTCAAAAGTTGTGTAAATTTATTCGTCAAAGCATCTTGGAGCATCGTTTCTTTAATATAATCGATATTGCAAAATCATCGATCATTTCAGCTTTATTCCACAACCCAGTTTCTTAGAAGTCAATCGCGTGACACGTTTATATGCGCAAGCCTCACCCTATATGGCCTCCCCCAATAATTCCACCTGGATAGCCACCCGCTGAATAACCTCCATAGCTCGGATTTAGGTATCCTGGGCTCCAGCTTGTTCCACGATACGCAGTACCAGGGCCATAAATCGAACCGCTAAGACCAAGATAACTTCCATATGGACTACTTCCTCCATACCCTCCAGGTTGCCCATATTCTTTGCTAATGTGAAACGCTGGAATCAATGTACAACTCAAGAAAATCGATGTTTTCGATCAATCCAGTCGATGCTCGATCAATTTCTTCTCTGATATAACATTCTTTTTAAACGATTTAATCACCGATTTAAATTTTTGTTCGAGCTTGTGATTGTTCTTAATGATTTACGCGCAAATAATTAATATTTATTGACGAAGAAGAATAATCTCTGTCAAGCATTACAATTTACAAAGTGATTACTTGTTATGGGAATGGTTCACACAGAGTAACATGTATACGTTTTGTTTCTACATGTTGTGTATGGAAAATCGTCGAGTACAGAAATTGGATCGAAAATTTGGTCGAAAATTTAAGCAGTTTCTTTCGATCAATAAAGTTTAAGAACGTTTGTCGAAACGAGTTTTCTTGATTTAGAATTCTTTGAAACTTGCGTCCTTAAAATTTATTACTATTAAAATAAAATGTATATTGTTCTAGGTAGAATGAATAACGTATCTGTTTAAAATACGTAAAAGGAAATTTTTTTCAGATCAAAATTTAAAGCAAATAATAAAGTTTTGCAACGTAAGAAATGTATATGCGCGAAGATTGCTTTACGGTTCGCACAGAAGAATAGCTAATCAGTCGAGCCTTGAAAAGCGTTAGTGAACGGTGGAACGCTTTTTCACACATGCATGTCCTCTATCCGCATTGCCATCCTCTATGGTGGCGGAAATGACGCTGTCATGAATCATCGGTTATCATGCGATGGGACAAAATTTTCAAATTATCAAATTAATTTATTAATTTGAATTCAATTAATTGATTAATTGAAAAGCATGATGTTTATAATCAATAAAATATACGTGATTTATTAATATGATATTACGATGTGTATATAACTTTATCTTCGTGCATCGAAATTCAAAGTAATTAGCATAATAACAATATAAATAACACGTTTCATAATAATAATTCTCGATAAAAAGGAGTTGCGATTGAACCTTCGTTATTTAATCAAATTTTTAATTCCTTACAAAATTTTTTAATTTTTCTATCTCTAATTCATGCGAATCTGATTTGCGTGACTAAAATTCACGTGCACCCTGATCTAATAATAATAAATTAAATCAAACATCGGCAGAGAGATCTTCGAAGCGTTTGAATAATTGAAAGCAAGGCACGCGTCATTTATGCAAATTTTGTTGTTGAGTCATTATATCAATGATCTAACACGGAACACCGCTGAGACGTCATTAGAAAAGATGCAGGCAGAGGAAGACCTTCGGTTCGTCACATTAACATGTTATTATATCGAATGTCATATTTTTTACAATGAAATCCATTTGAAATGGTCGATCGTGGGAACGGTAGTGACACACTTATTTAATACATTGAAAAAGTGTATAAGTTGGATAACGATCGATCATGCCTAGATATAACCGTAATTTCGCCGTCTACGAGATCGCGAGCTGTGATGCAATTATGCAGTTATAAGTATCCTTTGATACATTATTTTTTAGATTTTTTTCTTCTTCTTCTTCTTCTTCCTCTTTTCTCAATTATTACTTCTACATGTATACGTGGATAAAAATAACATTCGAAGAATGATTATCATTAACATAATCTGACTGGATTTCTTTGAAATACGTTATATAATAAACTTTAGATTGTGACAAATGAAATGGATCAATTGGCAAAGAATGATCTTTTTTTCTTTTTTTACAACGAATTAGTATTTCAAACTATGGTATTATTATATGGATAATAATTATAATATATTTTGCATAGTAATATAACAATAGCACTTACTTCGATCGCTGGCAGAAGTGATTAAATCTTTGTCATTATCCTCGATCGAGGGGCTGTTTAACGGCAGTTTTGTAGTTGATTTCGATTCCGGGGATTCGATGGCACTTCTGCCGAATGCGAATAAGCAAACGAGAATGATCTGCAAAATACGATTGTACGATGAACAAATATTCTCTATCGATGATATTAAATATGTACAATTATTAAACAATAAATTATTACAAATTAGAATAATAAATATTTTTCATGGCATATTTTTTGTAATTTTAAAATTCGAACGAATAAATATAATTGTAACGTAACAATGTGTATCAAATATTTAAAAAGTTAAAATAAAGTTGTTAATTGTAGAAATAAACGAGAAGATTGTTACTGTTCTCTGTTTCTGTGAAATTACGATTATGTTATACGACATAGTCGACAGATAAATTATATTGTCATAATGAGTCATTAGTGTCAATCTTTATTACGTATACATGTATATGTAAGCACGTATATATAAAAATTTTAATAAAATTTCCATATAATTTATCTGTTATCATCGTGTACTTCAATCTTTATTTTCAATAATCTTTTAATATATTCCCTTTACCTAAATTTATACGTATGATATTTATGATACGATAGAGATAATAAGAAAATCGATAAAGTGTTTCAAAAAAATTTGATATTTATTTTCTCTTATCTAGAAACTGTTTGAAGTAGTTGTCACTTTCCCTCTCTCTAATTCTAAATATTGACAAAGAACAATGGTAAGATTTAAGGACAATTTTTTCTAGGTTACGTAAACAAACTTGGCAATAGTGAAGATAAATAAGAAAAGGAAACTTTAAACGATATTTTTTTCCTTTGTTCCTGCCATAAAAATTTTATGGCATGATTTGATAAAATTTGATGTTTATAAAAATCTACAAATTATACTCAAAAACAAATATTTTTATTTACGCGAAAATATTTTTACAAACAATAAAGATTCACAGAATTAATCGAGTTTCCCAGCAAATATTTCTCCTCTTTTCCTCGAAATTACATTTAATCTAATAATTTCACGTACACGTTCCTCTCTTTAAATTAAATCTCCAATTTATTATAATTTATTCGCGTCCAATAAAAACCGCAAAACAAACATCAAATTTCCAAGAGAAGCTGAAACATCTTCAACACCATTGCTCACAATTTACCTTTTCTTAAAAAAAACCTCACCTCATCTCGTAAAAAAAAAAGAAAAAAAAAAAAATCAAATCAACGAGACCCGGAAAGAAAAGAATCGTTTCGGATGCGAAATACTTACGAAGGAGGGAACGATCCCCATCTTGCCCTTATCGAACGATTCAAATTCAAATCGATGCGAAAAAAACACGTTGGACGAGGGCTGAAGGTGTTATGACTGAGCGACACGGCTAGAAAACCTCTATATACGTCTGTTTCGAGTGCCCCTCCTCGTCGTCGTCGTCGTCGTCTTCCTGGCCGAGCCACTCTCGGTTTATTTAAACTCGATTCTTTAGAGGAAGACGTTGATAAGGTCGTTGAAGAGAAATGGACGGTATTCCGCACGACACGCCTTCGAACAGCTCGACTCCATGGGAAACCGTTTTTCCGATTCTTTCAGGGCACGTGTGTGTGCACATGCAACCACTTGTGCAATCCTTCGGTTTCGGCTACGTCATTCCTCGAGGAGGACGTTCCGTTTTCAAGTAGTTCAAGATCGATAGAACTTGTGCCCCGTAAGAAGTTCTTCGAAGGAAGGAAACAAAACGGTTGCCGACTAGTTAATGATACCTCTCTCGAAGCTTAATATCGGGTCGAGGCTGATCGATGTCGAAACGAGTCGTTTTGGAGATGTTGGCTGGAGGGCGTGGAGTTGACTTGAGTAAGTGGATGATACAAGGTGATTCGTGAAAAGGATCGTGAGTATGGTTTTCTGAGGGGGGGAATATATTTTGTTCGAGATCGGTCGGAAACGAATGTTGAAAGATCGGTATACTTTACTTAACTTTGCAATAAAAAGTTGCGAGAGATGAGATTAAATATTGCAAATTGTGCCACACTTGTTAACAAATATTTAAAAGCTCTTCACAAATATCGATAAGAAAAAAATGTATCTATAATAAGAAAGAATGGAGAATATTTTTACGAAGAAATCAGATTAAGCAAATAGCGGAATAAAGGGATTTGATTAAATGATATTTAGAACAAAAGCGCCATTTGTGTTTTATTGAATATTTCATTTTATAAATATCCTTTTATCGTGGAAATATTCTTTACCATAACTTCTTAAAGAAAATCTCAATTGCGTTTGAAATATCTCAGATGACGAAGTTAAATAACTCACATTAATTATATTGAATTATTGGTTTCTTCTTACGAAAACAAATTTACTTTCTCGAAAGAAGTTTTATATTCTTAAATGATTGATTGCGCTTTTTTTACATTTTAAAATGATCAATAAATAAAATTTGAAAATAACCGTTGTTTATAAAGTAATCAATTGAATTGAAAATAAAAAAGGCAATATTTAGAAACATTAATTAAATTTCTCAAAATTCTCTGCTCAAAAATTATTCAATTACGAATTTACATTCATTTCTATCCTGTAAATCGTGAACGTACAATCTAGTATTCGAAACAGCTGCAGGGTAGTAAAAATGACCCTACGAGTTGAACAAATATCGTTTATGTAAAAGTTACAGGAATACACACACACACCGTTACCATGATTTGTAGCGAGCATAAAACTTCTAATCTTTCTGATTTGTTTCTTTTATTATTGATAATCGATCATAGAATTATGACAATAATTTGAAACTCGATTAATAATAATTTTCAATCAGAAAGATGAAGGAGAAATTGTTTCATTTAAAAAGATATGCCCTTCAATTTTTCTGTATCGATCATTTTTTAAATAAAAAAATTATAGAACGATTGATAAAATGAAAAAAAACCACATTGACAGATATATAATTTTATCCATCTTTTCCACTTATATCGATTTTTCTTTTTACAATTCCGTCTAAAATGGAACGTGATCGAACGATCCAAATGAAGTGAAATTTTTGGATATTTTTTACGATAAAGTTTATTCGATTCATACTGATAAGGAATCTATAATAGCTTTTTAAACAAAGAGTATATTGTTACAGAATTCACAAAAGAAAGTGAAGTTATATATATATATAAAACTCATCGAGCGATACATTATACAGTCACAATGCTATCATTCACACAATGTGTTATTTCTGTTTCAGTTATGTAATACGAAAGTGCCAAAAGAGCCAAATAATGTAGCACATTTGAAATTGGATTACTTTACGCGAAACTGAATTAATTTATTTACGTGAATATTTAGTTTCTTGTTGAAAATCGTTTTCAAATATTCTCAAGAAATATTTTTCGGTTTATCCTTTCATAATTATTAATAGTAAATGTTTTTTTTTTTTTTCTTTACGATGGGATATTATTTGTTCGGATAAAATATAAAAAGAGAGTAGCAGGAAGCTAGTAAATTGATATATCTGTTCTCAGTACACGAATAATTAAAATCTAATTCGTTCGAAATAAATTAATCTTGTTGTTTAATACTAGTTAATGCACTGTTCTCGTTTATCGGTTTTCCGTCGCAAATGTGTGATATAATATATTTGAATTTTCCTCTCTTTCTATTTATTTCATCCGATTTAACATGTTTTTATATATATCATAACTCTCGATATGATGAATTTACACATTTATATGCAAAAATTTTGATGCAAAAAAAATAATTGGAAAAATTGAAATTTAATTTTATTAAAAAAAAAATTCGAAAATAATTACTCTTACATAAAAACGAGGATAAAGGGAATAAAAGAAATGTGAGAATCGATTCGACAATAATAGCGAACAAAATGATAAAGAGTTGGTAAAAATATCTTGTAGAAGAATTCAAAGAATATCCTGAGCTGAATATAAGAGGATGAACATTTGTTAGGATGGTCACTGCATAATAAAAACTTTCAGAAAGTGCGAAGAATACGGAATTTGGAAAAGATTGGATATATATGATAACTTCGTAACAAAAGAAGTATCTTGAAAGAGATATTTAGTATCGCTAATATTTTCGTCACTTTGAACGAGTATAAATAAGATTCTTAATATTTGACAGAGATGAAATCATAGAAATCAAAGAAATTTTTTCATTAAGGAGAAGGTGTACATATTTTTTCTGACACGTGATGTTTAAACGAACGTAGAAAGTGGAACGGAAAAAGGAAATACAATGAAAGATATGATGAATTTCCAGAGCAAGGAATTTCTCCGAGAGTATCGTAGTAACAAAGAAACGATAAAGGATCAAAAGAGTGCTCTAATATCGTGAAATCATAGATCGTCAAAAGTAGTCCAATGCAATTTCGAGAAATAATCTTTTTATTTCATAGATAATATCTTGATAAAATAGCCTTATAACGAAGGACAGCACGCGATCGTAAAACAGAAAAATAATCTATTATTAGACACGGATACTTTGATATAACTTAATTCTCTACCGTATTGAAGCAGACAATTTTTATCTTGTCAAAAAATGATTTATTATGTGGGAAAAAATTTTTTTATTTTTCACTTAATAAGCTAATTCATCGAGTAATCTTTCGATGAACGTAAAATCTTTGTATAAACAATATTAATCGTATCAATTATAGATATATAAATATAATCGTATAATAATTATATAATAATTATCCCACAATTAATTTAATTACCGTTCATTCGAAATATTCTTTTTTTCAACAAATTAAAAAATAGCACATATGAAATAATGGATATTATCGATAATACGATAATAGACTCTGAATAAAATTCAAAAATATATAAGTTTCTTTGACCGTCTCCCGTCCATGATGGAAAATTAATGGAAACATTTTCAACCGAGCAAAAAAAAAAAAAAAAACAAACGATATTAAATCGCTATACATGGAAACGAATTGAATTATATCTGACATTTGTACACTTGATATTCAATCCAAATATGATATTCAATTTGTATTATCAAGTTTGATTTAAATATACATTGATTTAAATATTATAAATATTATTCCATAATATAATTTTAAAAATATATCTCTTAATTCATTCACGTTCTATAGATATGAGGAAAAGAAAAATGCCCTTACATTTTTACAATCAAAATGTCGCAAAAAATATTTAAAATCTGTGCCTAATCATTAATAATATCCGAGGGCAACGGAATGATAAATGATGGTTTCGGAACGATCTCGTTAACGAAATAACTAATTTTACGAGAAATATTCGCAGGTTAATAAATCTTGACTTAAAAAAGATTAAAAACATTAAAAATGAGTAATCGTTCGTATGAAATAATATCGCATCTGAAATTTTTCCTCTCTTCTTTTCTATATCCTACGCAAAGTTTTCATCGTGTGATATTTTGTTAATTAAAACACACGGTAAAGAAAAATAGAATTCGCGTCGTTAAAATTTAAATCCCAACATGCGATTTCATTCATTTTGCTCACAGTTTTTTCACACCTTTCTTTTCTTTTCTCTCTCTTTCTCTCTCTCTCAATTTTACTTTACACGCACAATGCGTTAATTTACAATGAAACTCGTTTAATTTACAAGTTAAAGAAAATTGTTCCATCAATACGAACTATGATTAATTATACAATCTAATTTACATTAAACACGATAAGTCGATCTTAGCTGCTTTAGAAATGTAAATTATCCACATATACATAACTCAAAGCGCGAATTCATCGTGTATAATTCAACGCACGATGTACAAATCAAATGAAATGGCTTTACAATCTGATGTATACGAGTAATTTATAGCTATAGTCGTTATGACGCCATTGTGAAGAAAGTAAGTATACAATATACCTGTCGAGCCAATTCATAAAACTAATGAATCTTGCAAAATGTTTCAATTTGAAAAATTTTTTAAATTTTTCCTGCCGATTTAATATTGAAATATTCCATTGTATCTTGAATAATATCGAAATTCTATTTCACACTCCCGTATCATAAATCACTTATAAACTACGTTAACAATTTTATTATCAAAATTCATTGAATAATTTAATTTTGTGGTATATAGGATATATTATGCTTGGATATCATGTTTGCATAACATAATCGAATCCGATAAATTATTTTTAAAAATTATATTTTATACGTGAATACACGTGATATTCATCGATAAAACATCCTTCTTTATTTACCCCATCATCCAACAAATACTTTTTCCTTCTTCGTTTTTGTCTTCTCGCTCCCTGATAAATCGAAAATATATTTCGTTCTATATATACATATATATTCCCCTGTATATTTCTGTACATTCTTCTAACCATAACCATTCCAACGCTCGTTTCACGAAAAGTGGAATTCGGCCATACGTGG